GTTCTTCCTATGTCCCCCACTCAGCCTCTTCAACTTCTGAGGATGGAGAAATACCTGAGAAAGGGAAAGGAGAGGGAGTGATGCAGTAATCAAGTTTGGGAGGTTACCAAGGCAATCCAATTTGAATAAATTATAAATTAAAAATAAATAAAATTTAAAAAGTGGCCCTTGCCCAGAACACAGGGTTAATGCTGGCACAACTTGCCTGGGAATTTGGGACAATCTCAGGTTAGCACTAGTTCTTCCCTACTACCTAAGCTGGCCTGAGAAACCCAAGGGAGGGAACAGGCACATGAAGGACCCAGAGTGGGTCAGGTTGCAGAAGGATCAGAAGCTTTAACACCCAAATAATGAATTTGGGTATGAGTGTGGTGAGGACTTTAATTTAGGCCTGAAGGAGCTCTTGCCATCTCGTGTTTCTGTCCAAGATAGAGCAGGTCTTCTGACCCACCTATGTTCAGAATGCCAGCAGTCAGGGCAGAGGTGAATACTATGGATAATGGGCCTCATCCACAGCCTGCAGTTCAAAGCGGAGCCTGGGTCCAGCTCCCGGCTCCGAGGGATATCTCCAGGTAGGCTTATGTGGCCTAAGCAGGAACCTCATGCCTTAAAATTACCAAAAGTATTATGGGTTTCTTGGGATTGAATCCAGGGCCTTGTACATGCTAGGCAAGTGCTCTACTACTTGAGATATGCTCCAGCCTAAAATTACCAAAAAGTTTAGATTGTCATTTGGTGATCATAAAGATTTTCAGCTTTTTAAAGTCATTTGGAAGGTAAAAGTTCATGATTCTGATGCTGACTTTGACATGTAACAAGGCTCGTTCTGGGTCTCACACAAACTTGGAAGGACTTCTTTCATAACTATGAGAAATATTTAATGTTTTTCTTCAAAGAAAAAATAATTTGAAATAATTGTCTAATTCTCCAATATTCTGACTTATACAAATACAGATGATAATTCTTCTTCAGTTGTGGTACTCCTATCTTATTAATCCCTAAGTAAAATGGCAGTGACAACAGTGAAAGTTATCTTGGGATGACAGGTATGTCAGTGTAATGAAAGGAGCACTGAGTGTGGAAGTAAGAGACTTTAGTTGTGTTCAGGTCTGTGTTCTCTCTGAGCCTCAGTGAAAAGTAGATGACATTAGTTACCTCATAAAGTGTGGCTTGCAAGATTGGATAGTGTGCCTAAGGATGTTTTGTGTGAATTGCAATAATGACACTTGATGACATATCTAGTATGATTTCTGTGTTTTTGCGTCCTTTGTCCATCAAGAGCCCACCAGCAAGGACCACAGGATGGTTTTGGCTTATAAATGGGGTGGATAGATTGTTTCTTAAAGGGACAGAGAGTAAATAATTTTGGGCTTTGCAGACCATCCTGTCTCTGTCAGTACTCAACTGTGCCCTTGTAGTGCACAGCAGCCATAGCTAATATGTAAATAAATTAGTGTGACTACGTATATGCACACTGAGATTTGTCCTTCACAAAATTTCCATGTTAAAACATTTGAAAATGTAAGAAACCATTCTCTAGCTCTCAGGCTGTGTAAATGCAGGCAAAGGTTGGATATGGCCTGGAGGCTGTAGTGTGTGGAGCCCTAACTTGGAAAATTTGTAATTTAACTTTAGATTGATTCTTACAGTTTCACAATGGAGTTTTCTGTTCAAACGTTTTGGAAAATTTCTTAGAGGAGCTGTTTCTTTTTTTGGCAATACTGGGATTTGATCTCAGGGCTTTATGCATGTTGGGCAAGCATTCTACCCCTTGAGCTACACCTCCAGCCCTTTTTGTGTTGGTTAATTTTGAGATAGGGTCTTGCTTTATACCTGGCTGACCTGGACAGCAATCTTCCTATTTAAGCTTCCCACAGTAGCTGGAAATGACAGGCTTTTTCTATTAAGATAGGGGTTTCATGAACTTTTTGCCTGTACTGGCCTTGAACCATGATCCTCCGATCTCTGCCTCCTGAGTGGTTAGAATTATAGGTCTGAGTCACTGGTGCTGAGCTTCTTCTTCTTCTTTTTTTAAAAAAAAAACAAATTATGAGTTGGTGTCATATATTTTACAGTATAGAGACTATATGATATGCTTTAATTATTAAGAATGTATACTCTGATATTTGATTTTTACATGCATTAAAATTACTAACAGAATGAAAATGAGATTGGATAAATAGAAAACACAGAAGCAAAGAGATAGAGAAGCTACAACCTTAACCTAATTGGTAATCAGCTATTTTCTACAAAGTCCCACTGTCATTAGAAAAGGATGGCTTTGGTGAGACCATCAAAAGTAAGATGATGTGATTCTAACTTTTCTTTTTGCCTTAAAAAATATGCAATTGGAATTTCCTACCTTTTAAAAAGTATTATTGGTGAATATATACCTTATCTTGTGTTCACTTATATTTTTGCTTTATAATTTGGGATTTCTTTGGTTAAAGCCTACTACCTTGCAAGCATATTTCTTGTTTAAAAAATCACAGTTCATTCAATTTATTCATTTGTTTCTTTGTAAAAGTTTTATTATTTTTTTTCTGGATATTCTGGGGTTTGCACTCAGGGCCACATGCTTGCTAGGCAAGTGCTCTACCACTGGAACCATACCTCCAGCCCTTTTTGCTTTAGTTATATTCGAGATAGAGTCTTGCTTTACACTCAAGCCTGCTTGGATCTTATTCCTCCTCTTTTATGCTTCCTACCTTGGCTGGGATGACAGCCATTGGTTGAGGTGGGTTCATGAAACATTTCGTCTGCGCTGGCTTCAATCCATGATCTTCCTGATCTCTACGTCCCAAGTGGCTAGGATTATAGGCTTGAGTCATTGAACCTGGCTGGGTTTTTATTTTGATATTTGAAAAACATCTAAGAAACTTGATATTTTTAAAAACTGCATTTCATTGGCTTTGTTTAAAGATATAGAAAAAATTGAGAGCACTAAATCATTCTCCCTCTGATTAAAAATAAAATTTTAGGGGTGTGTAGTAATTGAAATATTTCAAAGAGGACGTGGTGCTGCACCACCTGTAATCCCAGCACTCAAGAGTCTGAGGCAGGAGGATAGTAAGTTCAAGGTCAACCTGGGCGGCACAGAAAGACCCTGTCTCAATCAACTAAAAAGCAAAAACAAAGCACACTTTTTCTTTTCCAAGTTACTTTCATGTAATAATTTTCTCTGATAATCACAACAACCTTGTAAACATGGATAATACAGACATTTTCTCCATTCTGATTAAGGAAACTAAGACAATATGAATGTGTGCTTGTCTATGATCTTATGGTCAATAAGCAAACAGAGGGATTTGACTTCAGGCCTCAGAACCATTTAGCATAAATTTTACAGTAATGTTACCCCTTACACAGTGCCTAGTGGACTCCTGCGTGCACTAAAACTCTATCAATGTTATTCCCAGATTGATATTTTTGCTATTAAAGTAATAAATGCAACATCAGAAAATTTAAAAATCTATCATCATTCAGAACATCTAGTATTAGAAGGCTGTTCCTAGGAAGATTAAGGTCCATTTTTTCATGTTTGTTTATATTTGAATGCAGAAGTATATCTTAGTTAGTACAGTTTCTAAAGCAAAGCTTTTTCCCACACCAAATTTTTAATTATGGTGTACATCGATAAAAGGGTCTTCCTTCCAAAAGATCTGCAGAATTTCTGAGGGTAGTAATCATGCCTGTGTTAATACTTCCTTCCTATTTCCACGTTCTTTAAAAAGCATAGGGTGATTTAAATGTAAAGCAGTAGATATTTAGGACACAATGGAATGAAATTTTCATCAATAATTATACATTAGTCTATTTCCCCCTGTGGTTCCATCAATCTTTTGCTTTGTATATTCTAAAGCCCTATTGTTAGGTACGTACATGTTTTGGGTTGTTATATCTTTGATGAATTGACCTTCTCCTTTTTATTATGGCATGATTTTTTTCTTTGTCCTGTTAAATACTAATTGTTCTGAAATCTACTGAATCTGATACCAAAATAGCCTTTGAACTTTATTTTGACTTATTTTTAATGGTATTTCTTGTTTATACCCACGTGTTTTAGCTTATTTGTGTTTTAGAAATAAAATTGATTTCTGATGAGCTGTATATAATTGGGTCTTGCTTTTCCAATTTGATAACCACTGCCTTTTAAATGGGATATTTCATTTAATATGATTAATGACATGTTTATGTTTTATATTTTTACTTACCTCATTTATTCAGTTCACTCTTTCCCCCCTTATTATCTTTTCTTTTGGATTAAGTATTTTTATGATTATATTTAATCTGTTTTGTTGTTTATTAACTATGCCTTCTTTTTGTCATTTTAGTGGTTGCTTTAGAATTAAAAATATATGTCTTAGCTTATTATAATAAAGTGATTTTATACCTCTAAATGATATCATACTACTTTGTGTGTGGTGGAAGAACATTTCAACTTACATTTTCCCCTCCCAAGCTTGGTTCTAATGTCATACGCTTTCCTTCTAGTTATGCTATAAACACCACAATACGTGGTTATTAATTTTTGCTTTAATTAGTAAATAAATAATTGTCGTTTTAGTTATATTAATTTCTTTCTGTGAAACTAGATTTCCATGCTATCATTTTCCTTTTGCCAGAGGACTTCCTGTTAACATTTTAAAAAGTAATGCAGATCTAGCAGTGATGAATTCTTTAAGTTTTGGTATATCTGAGAAAAGTCTTTATTTCTATTTAATTTGAAAGATATTTTCACTGCATGCAGGATTTTAGGGTTACATCTTTTCTTTCCTTTGATACTTTATTGTTGCTTCACTATTTTCTTGCTCGTGTTACTTCTATCAATCTGCAATAACCCTTGACTTTGTTTTTCTGTATGTAGCATATCTTGTTTTCAACCTTTTAAGCTTGGTGTCTTTAATAGCTTTCCTCAATTTGGATGTGGCATCCTACTTAAAAGCCTACCCACTACTTTTACAACCATGTTAACATTTAACTCTTATTTTTTAATATAGGTCTGACGTGATAGATTTGCCTCTGACCCCCCAGAAAGACAGTTTTCAGACTGTCCAGTGCAACTGCAGTGTTCAGGAATACTGCGACTGTCACGTGCCTGTAACAACAGTCAAACTCAACTACACTCTTCTTATGTATTTGAAAATCACATCTGGTGGAGTAATTTTTCAGTCACCTCTAATGTCAGTTCAGCCCATAAATGCTGGTAAGTTGCACATTAACATGAGTATGCAGCTAAACATCAACCATACGGTGGGTTTGAAAATTGCTCATGGATTACAGATTTTTTCACTGGCTTGTATCATTTTGACCAACACTGTAGATCATGGTAGTACTAAGATGTATTCAAACCAGCTTCTAGAATGTGTTAATAGTTGTATAAATGTTTCTGTGGTTTCACTTAAATTGTTTCCTGAAAACAGTTTGATTTCTTTAAATCCTGTATCTATCTAATGGATAGGCACTGTTTGGTTGCTACTTTTTCACATCTCACATAGCTATTTCTGAAAATTGTTTACAAACATGCTTTCTACTGAATTTATTCCTTCATAAATATTTCTTAGAGGTAGTATGTGTATATAATTCACGTTATAGTATTTTCCATGTGTATTTCCTGAAACAATTTTATTCAACTCTTTACATCCTTCTATGCATCATTGACTCTGACATCACTGAAGCCACAATTTTCCGTATTCACTTCTACTCGCTTTTAAGTTCTTGAGAGATAGAACATTTGAGTCTGTTTATGATTACAGTTTAATATTAGGACTTTCCAATATTTTGCTTTGTAGAAATATAGTTGTGATCTTTACAGCATAGTTACAATGACATCCAAGTACTTCAATTGTGAAATTCCCACAGGGAAAGAAAAGACATAATAGTTAGTAAACAGCATAGACTTCTCTTTTCAAAACTAGTTCTACCTGGTCATTTTTAGACACATTCAAGTTAGTGAAGCATTGAATTTAACTGCAAAATAAAGTAGTTAAGGGCAAGTGCTATCAAAGAATTTATATGAACTTGAATACCCTTTTTGTCCTTATATAGGTATACTTTTAGGGAAAACTATCTTTCCTTATATTCAATATGATAATGTATGAAAATTTTGAGTACAATGTAAGAATTAAAACAGGACATGTGATGGAGTGTCGGGGTGGGAGTTATGTTTAGTATAGTAGTCAAAGGCCTCTTTTGGGGTGTAGTATTTGAACTGAATACGGAGGAGATATCCATGTAAAAAATCCAGAGTAAAAGATACTTCAATCCAGAAATGAGTTACTGTATCTACTAAAGAAATGTTTAAATGTCTGAACACTAAAGAGATAATACATTTAAATTTTTTTAGTATTTGTAAGGACTCTGTCTCAACCCAGTCTTGACTTGCACAGCCATGAAGCCAGTGTTTAAGGAGTTTTAACTTACACATTAAAGGAGTAGAACCTGTCCAAGTTCATGTTTACAAACCACCTAAGGTAACATAATATCTCCAACATACCAGGTCAAGGAAAATAGGATCCAGAAGTCAGCACAGCATTTGCTACGGCAGCATGACGTGTAGACCAGTGAAGCTGAAGAGGTGCGCAGAACCGTGGGATCTAAGACGGGAGGATGCTGGTGGGGTGGGATGCAGATGCTGGCAGTGCAGCTTACTCGAAATCAAGTCAAAATTGTTTTACAGAACAAGCAAACTGTACTTCGTGATCATTTCACTTAAGAAAGGCTGGAGTCAAGAGACTAGCAAATGCTTCCTCACTTGAGCATATCAGCAGTTCTTGGGCTTCAGCTACTGAATAAATAATAATTCTAACTGAAGATAAATTACATGAACCCACATGTGAATGACAGATGTGTTATAACATTTGTTCCTGATGCATAACACCAGCTACAGTTTTTATAATTAACCTTTTCTCTTTCTAGTGGTTCTGAAATTCCAATTCTGTTTCTGCTGGCTTCCAATGTGATGCTGAGGTCACAGATTCCATTTTTGAAGGGACATTTTAACTCTGTCTAGTCAAGCTTTCCTTTGCCCCCACCCCAGTGTCATTTTCCTCACTTTCTCACACTCCACATGAGTATTTAAAAGCGTGTACATAATACTACTTACTTCAAGCTGTGACTGGACTTTGTTATCCTTGAACTACGACAGAAGTTGGGTCATTTAAAAAGTTGCATAATCTCTGAATAACTTATAAGAACTGTTAATAGTTTAAAAAAACATCCTGTGAAGTGTTTTCCTTGTCTGTCATGCTGTGTTGGTCCTGTGTCTCTCATGGCCTCTTATCTACTGCATCCCTTCCTATCTACTGCATCCCTTCCTATCTACTGCATCCCTTCCTGTCTACTGCATCCCTTCCTGTCTACTGCACCCCTTCCTATCTATTGCATCCCTTCCTATCTACAGCATCCCTTCCTATCATCTACTGCATCCCTTCCTATCTACAACATCCCTTCTTATCATCTACTGCATCCCTTCCTGTCTACTGCATCCCTTCCTATCTACTGCATCCCTTTCTGTCTACTGCATCCCTTCCTGTCTACTGCATCCCTTCCTATCATCTACTGCATCCCTTCTTATCATCTACTGCATCCCTTCCTATCTACTGCATCCCTTCCTATCTACTGCATCCCTTCCTATCTACTGCATACCTTCCTACATACTGCATCCCTTCCTATCATCTACTGCATCCCTTCCTATCTACAGCATCCCTGCCTATCATCTACTGCATCCCTTCCTATCGACTGCATCTCTTCCTATCTACTGCATCCCTTCCTGCTTTACTTTCTACTTTTGTTTTGGCCATGTGATATTCCAGAGGAAGATGATGAGTTTAGGGCTAATGAAGACATCTTTATAATTTCCCACCTCAGCCTTGTGCAAAGTCTGTTTTGTTCTTATCAAGTGGTTTCAACATGAGGATGTGGTGTTAGTCTGCTAATCTGTATATATTGCTGGAAGAAAAAAATGGTGTAGAAATATTTTGTTGCAGACTGTTTTCAAATAGAAATTAATTATATAAGTTATTACATGAAATAAAATTTTAATAAATCACTGACAATAAAAAAAGGATACTTCTAATAGGAAGAATACATTCATGAATTCCTTTTGATACAATGAATTTGGTGATTCAAGGAACAAAAGAGGAAGCCCTTGTGTTTGGATTAAATGAGGCATAGAATATTTGGAGACAAGGGCACACTTATTGGGTATAGTGCATATCATAGGCCAGGGTTATAGAGTTTTGTTTTCATTGCAATCACAATGAAACTTTTGAATTAGGGGTGTGCATGATCAGATGTACGTGTGTGTTTAAAAGTTATTCTGCATTATGGAAAATGAAATTAATAAGGAAGAGAGTGAAGGATAGTTGGATGAGTGGATGGAGGAGCTTTAGTAAGAGGTTTTGGGGATAGGTCAGTTGGTTTAGGGCTGTAACAATGAAAAAATACAGAACTGATGGGATTGGGGTTTATTCGGAAGATGGTGATGACTGGATCTACTAGTGGATTGGTCTGTAGGGTATGGAAGACAGAGAGGAATCAAGGGTTGCCCTTAGACTTGGACTGAACATCTTGGTGTATGGTAGCACCAAATATGGAGGTATATACTTGGCATTAGTACATGGATTGTATGAGATCACCCATTCAGAGTTTAGAACAGAAAGATTGAGGGGCAATTAGTGATAATGAGGGCGTAAAAGAGTGTGGTATGTAAGAAACCAAATGAAAAATAGTATTTCAAGAAGGAAGGAGTGAGCAGCTATATGGAGTGCTGCTGAGAAGCAGAGTAAAATAATTGGAAGTTGACAGTGGCCTTGATAAGAGCAGATTTGGTAGGTCGATGGGAAGATCTGACCACAGTGCTTGGTTAGGACTTGGGATACAAAGTGGAGAGTGAGTAATGTCAACTCTTCTGAGAACATTGCAGTGACAGAAGCAGGTGAGTGGGAATAAATCTGGCACTGCCTATGTAGTGGATCCAGGGAAAATTTAATTATGTATTTCTACTTTTAATGCGCACTAGTATACAGATAGCAAATGTACAATAGCTTGTAATTTCATGACTTTACTTTTTTGAGATGTCTTTGTTTTGCATTATTTTTAGTCATGGGAACATAGTAAAATTTACTTGTTTCTAGATTTTAGTGGTTAGACATTCTGGCCTTAAAGTAACTGAAATTTGTAATATGTCACATAAAATAAAACTTCATCAATTTTGGCTAAAGGGGAAGAGGATAAACTACATCTAAATTTCTGAAAATATGAAATGTGAAAAATATTCTATACCATTTTATTTATTGAAAATAGTTAAAATAAGTGAACATTTCAATATAGTGATAATTTGTATATATATGAATAATTATTATATTAATATTAATTGTGAAAACCTTGTAAATACAGGTATGTACAAAGAAGAAAAAGTATCATCTGTTTTCTACCATGTTGACAATCTTCTGATTTTTAATATAAATTTGTACAAATGTGTTTTTATTTTCCTTTCTTTCTCTCTCTCTCCCTCTCTCCTCCTTTTTTCTTTTTTTTGGGGGGGGTGGTACTGGGTTTGAACTCAGGGCCTCACACTTGCTAGGCAAGTGCTCTACCACTTGAGCCACTCCACCAATCCCCTCTTTTACTCGTTAACTTTAATAAATCAAGAATGTAAACATAAATATGTGATAACTTTTAAAATGTAGAACTTAAACATTTTCAAAATTCTTCTGTGATATGATATTTTAGCTTTGTTCTCTTTTTTCACCCTTTTATTAATGTATATAATTGTACATGCAATATGATCTTTTTCTGCAGTACCATAGTTTAAACTCATGGCTTTATGCTTTCTCAGCATGTGCTCTGCCATCTGAGCCTTGCCCCCCAGCCTTTTTTGCTTTAGTTTTATTTTGAATAGGGTCTTGCATTTATGCCCAGACCAGTGTGGATCATTATCCTCCTAGTTACACTGCCTGCCTAGCAAGGATGACAGGTGCCTTCCACCATCCAATTTTACTGATTGAGATGGGGGCCTTCATGAATGTTTTGCCCAGGCCAGTCTCAAAGCACAATCTTCTGATCTCCAGTTCTCGAATAGCTAACATTACAACAGGCATGAGCATCTGCAGTATGATTTTTAATGACTGTATAGATTTTCATTATGTTATGAACTGTAATTTATTCAAGTAATCCTTTATTGTAAGATATTTAAATTGTTCCTCCACATATTTTAATGGCCTTTGTTGTTTAAGACTGTATGTACATACATATAGCCAAATACTTATAAATACAAATGCATACGCATAGACAAACATGTACACATGCATTGGAATTCAGCAGTAATTTACTTAATAAAACTCCAAATAAACTAAATGAGTCACGTGGAGTAGAGCCAATAGCATAGCTGTGTTTGGGTTCTGTAATTAGTCTTTGGATAGGGTTACCTTTTAAGTAGTTGGAAGGCAGGATGTGTTGAAAATCCATTTTGCTGTCCTTTTATTCAGATATGACTGCCATTAAAATTGCTTGACTCAAAAGTATTTTGTTTTTTCTTAAGTGAAGCCACATCCACCATCTGGTTTGCATATGGAAATCACAGATCATGGTAATTTAAGGATTTCTTGGTGCAGCCCAACATTGGCACCATTTCCACTTCAATATCAAGTGAAATATTCAGAGAATTCTACAGTTAGGAGGGAAGTAAGTATATCTTAGTAAATAAAATAAAAAGTTGAGAGGTAATTAAAGACTTCCCTACATCTCATAGAAATTGTCCTCTGCCTATTAAATATTCATGCTCCTTCTAGAGCAAAATGAATTATAATTGAATTGTATATATTACAGACATTTTGTAGATACACAGAACTATGGGGAGTCGAGTTACAGAAACTTTATAATTGTTTTTCATCTGTGTACCACGGCTCTTATATTTCATTCTTATTTTGTATTGCTTGGCATATTTGTTTACATGCAGTGTGTGCATTTTTGCTGTAAAGTCTGTCAAACTCTTTTTTCATTCATTCATTCATTCAGTAAGTAAGTATTTATTGAGTACCCATTTGGTGCCAGGAACTGTTATGTGCATCAAGATACCTGGGATTATAGAGCTATCAGAGGAGGAGGTTTGAACATGCTGGTGGAGGATGAAGGGTTGCGGTGGGAGGCCACATTGAGATGGGTGATGTTTGAGCAAGGATTTGAAGGAGATGGGTGACAAGCTAGATATCTGGGGGAATTGGGTTCCAAGCAGAGAGAGCAACAATGCAGAGGACAGTGTGGCTGAGGGCAGTGAGTGAAGGTGACAGTATTAGTGGATGATGTCAGAGGCAGGGGAGGAGGAAGGAAGTCATTAATGGCTTCTTGGGTCATGTGAATATTTTTCATGTTACTTGCAAAATTAAATGTTATATAATTCAGAGGTTTAAAAAAAAGTCTTTTTAGATCTGGGCTATTTTTTAAAGGCTTTATTTTTACAAATTGCCACGTGGGAACTGGCTATGTCATATACAGAAAAGCAGAGTTAGGGCTACTGTCAGCTTCTGCCTTCTCTCCTGTGAGTTGGATATAATAGAATGTCAGCTATGAGCGATCTGATATTTTTCTGGGCATTCCTGATGCTTTTCATCATTTTTAGTCCATGACCCCTTTCCTCCTATCCAAGAGTCTTAAGAGGCCAGAGAGTTCAATGACTTTGTCATTGTACATTACAGGAAAACTGAATTTATTCCCTAAGCAATTCTTAGCTAGAGGTTGTTTTGTGCAGCGTTTGATCTCAGATATTTTCTCTTCTAGTTTGTAAGTTGTGTTTTGACTTATGCACTGTAGGTTATTATCAGGTTCTTAAAATCATTAGCTCCCTCTGTGCAGCTTTTTATAGGTGTCTGTATGGTTCTCGCTCTACCCCTGCCTATCTTTATCTACCAGGTGTGTCACAGGTGGCAACAGTGGCTGGAAGCTTCCCACCCACTTGTGCTGCATTTCTCAAAATTCTAAAGGTCATATGTTCATTATCATTCGATTAACAATATTTGCCAATTATCATCGTGATTTTTTTGACCCCAGGCTATTTAACATTTTATTGACTAATGTACAAACATTTGTTATGTAGTCATTGATTTCTGTCTTAATTCATCTTCGGCCAGATAACCTATGTCGTATTTTAATTATTTGGAATCTGTTGAGACCTGGATATGATTCATTTGAGTACAGGTTCTCCCTTGACTTGATGCTCTTGTGTTTTAACACAATATTTAACAGGTTGATGAGGTTGTCTCAGATACATCCCTGCTGGTAGACACTGTGCTTCCTGGGTCCTCATATGAAGTTCAGGTAAGGGCCAAGAAGCTGGATGGCCCAGGAATCTGGAGTGACTGGAGTACCCCTCATGTCTTTACCACACCAGGTGGGTCATGTGGCTTTGGGAAACATACTGCTAGAATTTACCTTTCGTATATTATAAATACCTTAACTTTTATGGTCCTGAAACACAAGGGTAAAGATAACGATATTAATATATTATTTCAATTTTGACCAGATAATTTTTAAATTAAAATTGTGTTAGAGTTTCTGTGTTTACACACTTCTAAAACAGTCTCTTATTGAGTTGCTTTTCTTATTAAAAAGATGAAAAGTTAAGCTGGGCATAGTAGCTCACTTTTGTAAGCCCTGCACTTGGGAGGCTGAGGCAGAAGAACTGTGGGCTCACTACATAGTGAGACTCTGTCTCAAAGAAAAAAAAAAAAGTAAAAAAAGAAGTTAATATAAAGTTTCCAAATTAACAGATTCAGAATGCCACTTATACTAATAATTCCTTAATTTATATTTGAAAACTAAGTATATTTGACATAAATAGAAAGTATGAAAATATAAAATTTTATTTTAATATATGTTACTTAGTAAATGAATTCTTTTCACTGGAGCTGCTTGCTTATAGAGTTTTCCATGTAAGTTCTCATAGTTTTGAGGTTATTTTAACATCAGAAAAACTGCATTTCATTCAGAACATCATAAAAATCAGGTGTCATGTTTCATATGGAGGCCCAGGAGTCTTGGCGTAATCCTAATCCTGTCATGTGCTGAGTAGTGACTCCAGGAAGACACTTATGGCCCTTTGTTGTCTGATCTGTCAACAGGGAATATATTTTTCTTTCTTTTTTTTTTTTTTTTTGGGTGGGACTGGAATTTGAACTCAGGGCTTCATTCTTGTAAAGCAGGTGCTCTACCACTTGAGCCACATCCAGCCCCAAAGGGAATATATTTTTCTTGTTCAAATTTATTCAGGCTGATAATGGTTATATTGAAATAACAAGTACCGTGTAAAATAATCAGCAAACATTCAGCCCATTTAACTTGCCAAGTTTACTTATTGATTACTTACCATTTAAAAAGTGTTAATTAGTCTAAAAGCAAGTAGATAGAGAGCAAACATTAGAGATTTAAGTGCATTGATTTTGCAGTCTGACAGTTTGTAGAAGTACTAGACTCACCTCTTATTTGGAGAATTTTTTAATCTTTCTGTGTCTCAAATTCCTTGCCTGTAAAACAGGGTTGTTTTCACATGGATAAAATGCAATAATGCAATAAAATACTCACCAGATATCGGAGCACCTATGTCTTAATAAGCACTTAGTTAATACTTGATACAATTATTCTTTATGAATCTACAACCTGTGAGTTCAAAATCTCAATATCTAAGGGGAGGGAGGACTGACACCATGTGTAACCAATTGCCTAGCACAAAGTGAGATTGTGCAAAGAGCTAAAGGAAGTGCTGAACAAGTGGAGTGATTAATTCTGTGCCTGGGAGACTCGGGGATCTGTTGGGGACACATTTAGAAGATGTGAATTTTAAGTCTCTATTCGTCAAAGAGTCGACTATCACATTCTGTAATATGATGCTGACAATTCAGGTTTTGAAATTTTTGTTTTTCTAAGGAAGACTGCATCTTCTATTTTTAATTATGTGCTATTGATTAGTAGATCTTAATGTTCATCTGTGGAAGATGTAGAGGTGAATGAATTGACATCAGATTTCAGAGGTGTTCTGGTAGAGACTTCATCTAGTGCTATTGGCAAGGTGGACAGGGAAAGAGGGAAGCTGTAGAAAGGAAGCGGAAGGCCACTGTCTCTACCTCCATGGAGAGCCTGCGGCTTGCTGCTTATATTTAACCAGGTGGTGAGATACTTCTCTTCCACAGAAAAATGAATTCATTGTTTGCTGTTTTATTTCATAATTAGAATGGAAAACTTGGTATCTCCGAAAAAGAGGGACGTTCTAAAAGAATAATGTTGTTTTTCAAAGTCTGCTAGGATTCAAGTTATACATCAACACCTTTCTGGAATAATAATTCTTGACGATATTATTTTTACTATATTTAGTTCAATACAATACAATGGTTTTTGTGTTGCATTTTGCCTAGGATTGGCCACTCTACTTAGGTTTTTAGGTCTTTCTAATTCTGTTTTACTTTCTACAAAACCCTTTTATAGCATATAGCAATATCTGCGAGATAAAATTTGCTTTCTTTTTTCATATGTTGGCTTTTATTTTTATTAGTATAAGTATACATACATACAACTTTGTCAGTGATTTGCTTATAAAATATCCAATCATATGACCATCAACAGCGAGGCTTTTACTTATTCATCACTTAGGTGTCCCTCTTGTGACTTAAAACATCCCAAATAGAAAAATCCAAAAATGAATGACAAATCCTGACAGTGAGTAATAGAGGCCTGTTAGTTAACTTTCTGAGGTCAGGACAAAAATGCCTGAGAAAAAACAATTTAGAAGGAGGAAATATTGATTTTAGCTCACAGTTTCAAGATTTCAGTTCATGGTTGATTGGTCCTGTTTCTTTGGGCTGTGGCAGCACAGTACATCATGGTCATACCCTGTGGTCTGTTCACCTCTTTCAGCCAGGAGTCATAGGGGGAGGAAAGGGTTGGGGTTCCGATATCCCCTTCAGAGGCACGCTCCCACTGACCTGACTTCCTCCCACTAAGTCTCCATCTCCTAATGGTTCTACCACCTCCCAATAGCACCACAGACTGGGGAGCAAGCCTTTAGCTTATGGGCCATCGGAGTCATTTAAGTTCTGAACGTAACATTTAAGTTCCCAGTGAGAAACTTGGACTGCCTAGTTACCATTGAATGGTAACAGATGAGTGTTAGGGGAAAGACAGAAACTTACCAAATAGAAAGCAGACCTTAGGGACACAAAGAATGAAAACAAAACACTTATTCCCCTCAGTAGCTCTCCAAAAATATTTCTGGATTGCAGTATTATCTACTGTAGCAATGCAATGGTATAGTGATATATATCAAATCAGAAATAACACAACAAGGTTCTGATTTCCCTATTGAACAAAAGGTGCTTCCTGTTTTTAAGGTGGTTTACATATATTATTCTTATCATTTTATCCTCTGAACAACTTTATGGGATAGATTTAAGGAAATTAAATAACTTATAAGAGTTCACACAATTAGAAAGATAGAACTGGAGGTCTCATTTAAGGTCTGTGTTTGTAAACACTAAAAATAAGTCAGAGAAGTACATCAAATAGGATTATGCAGGATTTCTAGTGATACTAAAGTTTGATACTCAATACTAAATAGTAAGCTTAATTGTGTCAAATGTTTTTATGAAACACCATCTTTTGCAATACCTGGGAAATGAGGTTTATTGTTGCAATTCAGCTTGCTGATTTCTACACATCATGTCAGTTACCTCCTGTGAGCCTTTCTTCTGAACGCTGTGCAACAGCAAAGCGTGTTTCTCCAAACTTGGGAACTTCCTGTTCTTCACGGAAAGAACCTTCCTCCTTATATCTAGGATTTAAATATTACTGGAGTCTCCTGCATTGCTCACTGACAGGTGCCATAGTCACATTTGTTGAACGGAAACATTCCATGTCACTCTCTTATGAATTCATTTATCTGCCGTATCCTTTCCAAACACTTTGGGTTTTAATGAGTTTTTCTTGTACTTGTTCATCATTCATATTACATTTCCTAACTAATTTTCTTATTTTTGCCTTGTTTGTCCACTTTAGCTATTTACTTAAATTTTCACATATCCAAATATGACAATAGCAGCAACCCTTTCTCCATCAGGATTTTGTCTCAGAGTGATCTATTCTAAGAACTTACCCTCAGCTTCCCTATTCTTTCTTAAAGCAGGATCTGATGGAAATGTATCACTGTGGAATTACACTCTGTTTCACTAATTTGTTGCAAAACAATTAGCAAGTGACAGTTACTGACTAAAACATATTTTGTGGTGAGTAAGCAAGTCTCTGTGTTTAGAAGCTAGCAAAGACATTCACAGAAGCTCCATTCGCTTGAGAGCAGGAGTTCTTTCTTTTCTTTTAGTGTTTAGAGAAGTTTTAATTAAAGACAACAACTCCACAAAAGTAAAAGATAAAGAATGGAATGACAAGAAGTATTTGATCTTAATAAGGCAATACAAAATAGATCCATTATCAAAGACCATTTAATTTTTAAAGATTGGCAATACCGAAAGCATAAAGCAGAGTATAAGAAAATATTTTTATAAGTATGATTGAATTAAAGCTGTGTACAGTTACTCTCTCCCACAGTAGTAACCATGAATTTAAAAGAATAGGAGATGAAACACACGTGGTACACGGGGTAGAGGGGCTGGCATGCAAAGTCTGCGGAGCTTAGGGTCTTGCAAGCCAGGACCAGATCAGGGTGGCCCTTTGTTTTCTAGTAGGAAGGAGGACAGGGAGGGGGGAAAAAGACTGCAAAGGACACAAACAGAAAGTCATGCAATTCCGCATTGCCCAAGAAGACAGCACTACAGAAGACAGTTTCAAGATGACTACAGACTATTCAGTGTTTACACAAAAGTACATAGTACATTTCTTTTTACAAAATAAAAGAAATGTCATTTGCCACCATAAACCTTTTCTTTAGACAAGAAAAGCTTTCACAGCAGGTCATAAGGGATTCTATGAAGCCATTTCAATGCTGATCAAACAAAATGAGTAACAAATCTAATCACGTCCCTGTGTATAGATGTTAGAATGGCAATTAGGTTATTCTTCAAGCTAATCCTGAGAAAAAAATCTTTCCATGAACAAGCAATTACAGAGTCTTTCAATTTCTTGGTGTACTCATTTTTATTTTTGACCTGGGACTGTGTCGTGAATAGTTTTTACATGGGATGAGTTGCTTTCATGGTGTTTTCTGTCTTCATCTGATTGACTTTTCTGTCCTTGTTACAGATGTCATATATTTTCCACCTAAAATTCTGACAAGTGTTGGGTCTAACGTTTCTTTTCACTGCATCTATAAAAATGAAAACAAGACCGTTTCCTCAGAAAAGATTGTTTGGTGGATGAACTTAGCTGAGAAAATTCCTCAAAGGCAGTGTAACGTTATAAGTGACCATGTTAGCAGAGTCACTCTTTCCAACTTGAAAGCCACCAAACCACGAGGGAAGTTTACCTATGATGCAGTGTACTGCTGCAACGAACATGAGTGCCACCATCGTTATGCTGAATTATATGTGATTGGTAAGACTTCTGGGGCTTTGCTCCTTTTGTCCCATAAGATCACTTTTTCCTTTATGGGCTCTTTATTGGAGTCCTATTAAAGATGTAGGAAGAATGTTTTTCATTAAAATTTTTTTGGTGTTTTTGCTTAATATTAATATTTTAATGTGTTTTAAATAGATGTCAATATCAATATATCATGTGAAACTGATGGGTACTTAACTAAAATGACTTGCAGATGGTCAGCCAATACAATCCAATCACTTGTGGGAAGTTCTTTGCAGTTGAGATATCATAGGTATGTATTATTTTTGCTGCTTTGTTTTCTGTGGGTATGGTGAGATAAAGATTATCTACTGAAATATTACCATAACGGTAGCCTTATAAATTTTCTTCCTGAAAGCAGAGGCAGGATATAATTAACTGGGAAATGTCTGAGGGTTTGAGGGATTATATAAAATGCAATCTTCTTTCCCTCCCTCCCTCCTTCCTTTTTTTTCTTATCTCCCTCCCTCTCTCCCTTCCTTTCCTTTCTTTCTTTTCCTTCTTATTTTCCTGAGTACTGGGGGTTGAACTCAGGGTCTTGAGTTTGCTGGGCAGTCACTCTACCACTTGAGCTACACTTCTAGATTTTTTTTGCTTTTAGTTATTTTTGAGATAGGGTCTCACATTTTTTTTTGCCCCAAATGGCCCAGACTGCAATTCTATTTAGGCTTCCTGTGTAGCTGGGATGATAGGCACATGCTACCAATATCCAGCTTGGTTATTGAAATGGGAGTCTGGCTACCTTTTTGTCTAGGCTGACCTCAAACCATCCTTGTAATCTCTGCCTTCCTATAATTTTTTCTCATGGTGGGATTATAAGCATGAGCCATGGCATCTGGCTAGTAATGGCAATTCTTGAAAAATATTCCTACCTGAGCTTAAGAAAATTGTAATATGTTACTTCAAATTATCATGTCTGACAACTAATTATCTAAAACTGAATATTAACTCTTGAATGATATGCAAGAAAAGTTTATATACATTTTAATTTGACTTAGAGAATTGTTTAGAGTAGAATGTGGAGGATTAAAAAAGTTTAATATTTTAGAAAAAAGTTAGAGTCAGAGACATGAAGATTATAAGAAACAATATGAATGCTTTTAGAACTAGGTGAGGAGCTGAGTGTGCTGTTTCACACTTGCAATCCCAGCTACTCTGGAGGTGGAATCAGGGGGATTGGGAGTTCCAGTCTGGACAAAGTTAGCAAGATCCTTTCTCAAAAGGAAAATTCAGTGATAGAGCACTTGCCCAGTAAGTGTGAGGCCCTGAGTTCAATCCCTAGGTGAGGTTATTCAGGACATAAACAATAGTTAATAAGAAGTAATGAGTTTATTAAGTAGAAATTTGTGCTTGCTTATTTTTACCTTGGTTTTTAAAAGACATGTTTTCATGGTATTTCCCTTGTCTTTACCTAGCATTTATCTAAAATGATATTATCTTGATTAGAACTTAAAAATTACATTTTAATTTTTACAATATTCTATCAGAGTTTTCAAGTACATATACTGTTCTTAAACACTATACCTCAGTATATTATTTGTATTGGAGACTTTCACTTTGTACAGTGTGCTCTTTTGTTCTTTAAATCTAAAATTTGAACTTGAAAATTATACCCTCTTCCTCCAATACTGTGACCTGAACTTTGTTTTTAATTCTATGAGCCTATTCTTGTGTATAGTAGAAAAAAATGCACCAATTTCTACATTTCTCAAATGGGAATAACAGCTATCTTTATCCTACCTGCTTTGAGTATTTTTAAGTCAACAGAAAGTTTGTGGTATGCCATTTTACTTTTACAATCTGTCCTTACATTCTTCCCATGGCATTTTCACATTAAAAGATGTGTTTGTGGAAGTCTGCTACATAAGCTCCCTGCCTCATTTCCTTACTGACAGCTACAGGATAACCATGAAACTAAGTGCGTATACTTGAGTGAGCTCTAAGCCTTCCAAGCCTTAATTTCCTTGCCTATAAAACGTGGAGGTAATAGTCTTATGGAGTTTCTAAGAGAATTAATGATGTATTTCATTTAATTATGATTAAATGATATAACTTCTCCTAGAAAACATTCAACAGATGGTTATTGCTGTTACGAGAGTGCTGTGAATCATTTGCTCTTGTAGACTGCTCTTATTTTCTTCTCAGAGATGACCTCTTTTTCTTCATTTTCATTTTTTTCTCACCATTACTTATTCTAACACACACACACACACACACACACACACACACACACACTGGAAATGTCAAGGAAATTTAAAAAAACATAACTTTTTTTACTTTCTTCTCACTTCCTCACTCCCACCTCTGTGGAGTCACTGCTACTTCAGCCACTTAAATGCCATAGTCAGAGCAAATAGTGACCGAAAAGCTGTGTCAAAGAAGTGCTGTATGTTCTAAGGTAGAGTGTTGGTTGAGTCTCAAACATTTTTTCCTCAATTCTTTTTGATTTGAAATAGGAAGAATTAGGGCACTGCTGATGAAGCTGTACTTTACTGTCAGTTACATGTTAAATTTATGGTAGAATTTAATCTCCTATTTAAAGTGTGAGGAAGTTGCCTTATTCCCATCTCAGGAGTTACTTTTGATCTATTCTTTGAAAATTGTATCATTAATAAAAATATTAGCTTGACTTTATTGTTATCTCTAACTATATTATCTTTCTGTCAGAGCATTTTCATGTACACTCAACATAGTGACTAATGAAATATTTTGTAGGAATTACCCTATGCTTCTATGGATAGACATAGGATTGGGATATAGCTGGGAATTCAAGAGTACCTTTCTAATAAAAAAAAATGTATTTTTAGATGGACCAAAACTATCTCTTTTAAACACCGACTTTCTCAAACATTCTTATTGCTTTGATCTTAATGCTGTGTACTAATTGATAATTTTTGTATCTTTTAAGGAGCAGCCTTTATTGTTCTGATAGACCATCTGTTCAAACCATATCTGAGCCCAAAGATTGCCATTTGCAGAAGGATGGCTTTTATGAATGCATTTTCCAGCCAATCTTTCTGTTGTCTGGCTACACAATGTGGATTAGGATCAACCACACTTTAGGTTCACTTGACTCTCCACCAACATGTGTCCTCCCTGATTCTGTAGGTATGTCAAATTGTGTTGTGTGTTTGCATTTTAGTTAGTATATTTGAATGCAAATCAAATCAGGATTAATGTTGTCCTTTGACATTTTCTCATCACTGTAGATTTTCCAGAGAAAATTGTTTATGTTTACAATGGAATAAGAAGATGATCAGCCTTAGAAAGCTTTATAGGTTTGAGTTTATGTTATGTTACTGAGTTTAGTTTATATTATTTATAGTCTGCTTGTTCATAATCATGGATAACTATTTCACAGCAATTGGAATATTTTCGGCATACTACTCGATGAATTACATGGGCCATTATGAATGAAATTTAGTGATTTTTTAAAATAAATAATACAAACTAGGCTTTTCTTCCAGTGTAGTTATGAAAATAGTTGGTGTTTCTAATTCAAAAGTCTAAATTGGATAATCCAAGAGTTTTTATAATCAGAGTAGTCATAACCCAAGGCTTTAGTTTGTGAGGCTGTATGGCAGAAGCATTCAAAACATTTGAAGTGAAGTGGAGAAAATAGACAAGAATGATGATATCCATCATGGTATTTAAGACATTCTTTATAAAAGACATTCCGAGATCAAAGGATTCAGAGAGCTCTTGAGAAATTTGATATCCCTCCGATATCATTGTGAAATCTTTGATAAGTGACCCGTGTGTAAACAGAAGTTAAAGAATAGCTTTCTTTTTCACATACCAACTGGATCTATGCCTTCTGCATGGAGTCTCCCATCCACTCTTGGTACAGATAATCCAGACATGATGATGTAAATGTAATTGGCACTGTGAAGTTAATCTGGAAGTCATGACACAGTTAGGAGCTCCAGAGGTGCCTGGTTATGCTTAGGGTTTCAGGCTCTCCATTTCAAACATGTCAAGTTTCCAAATTGTCTTTTATTGTTAGGAAAAGTGGCCCTTAAAAATTAAGAACTCAGGGAAAATGTATGTAGTGGATGTAAGTCTAAGCTAAAGTTTTCAGTTAAGAAAACAAAATGTTGATAAGAAAACAAGACAACTTTTTTCTTTGCATTTCTCTTTTAAGATTATGTCTTTAAACATATCTTGTTCATATATTTATATTTTAAGAACTGTCTTAAAAAAATCACTTGCCATCCAGGTCATCTTTGCCTCTATTTCTGCTTATTAAATGCCTATTTTTTTCAGAGTATAGAAACTAAGGTTTTACTTTGTGAGACTACTACCTTTAATCTTGGCCTAGAAATACTCCATAATAGTGAAGGAAGCGTTTGAAACCCAGAGAAGTAGCAATTGGTGAAGTGCATGTGAGTTTTTTTGGCCTGCAATTAAAACTCCATGGAGAACAGAGATTTCCACTGATAATTATCAGGTTTTCAGTATGATTACTTTCGCTTGTAGAGCCCATGGTTCAATTTCTTTTCTTTCTTCCTTCCCTCCCTTCCTTCTTTCCTCTTTATTTTTTTCTTTTTCTTTCCTTTCCCCTCTATGCTATAAATTGAACCCAGGGCCCTGCTCATGCTAGGCAAGCACTCTATCCACTGCACTTATACTCCCAGTCCTAACGACGCAATTTCTAATCAGTTCTATCAACTTGCAGAGTGACATGGATAATGTACTGATTTTTTTCAATCAATCTCTTTGTTTGCAAAATAGAGACAATTGTTATCTTACATATTACATAAGATTATAAGAGAGATAATAAGGGAACAATTTAGAAAGCTTTTAAAAAAGATATTGCTTTATAAATATAAGTTATTAAGATAAACTAATATTTTTAAGCATTAATTACTTTTAAGCTACCATTGCCTAATATCATTTTTACCATTTCTAGTAAAACCACTGCCTCCATCTAGTGTGAAAGCAGAAATTACTGTAAACATTGGATTATTGAAAATATCTTGGGAAAAGCCAGTCTTTCCAGAGAATAATCTTCAGTTCCAAATTCGATATGGCTTAAATGGAAAAGAAATACAGTGGAAGGTATCTTTTACTTAGACATTTCTTCAGCTTGCCTCACTAAATGTTGTTTCTTATAATGTTTAAGAGTTTCATTGCTTAACATCAATACCAAAAGTATACACTGTAATCTGTATTTATTTTCATCAAAGTCTAACCTTTTTGAGGACAAAATTTCTTGATCCATCATTTCCCAAAGTATGTTTCACACAACATTGGTCTTATAAAATATCCTTTGAAAAGAAGATTGCATGGTTAAATAAGTTTAGGAAACTCTGTATCTCTGTGCCTTCCTAGGGTAGAGGAACATATTAAAGGTCTGGAGAGATCTAACATTAAAGAAACACTTGTGACTTTATTTTATCCAAGGGTTTTCAAACTTGTTTTTCTAAGGAACATCTTCTCCACTAACATCTATTAATGTCCTTTAGTACACATGGGTTTAATGGAATACTTTTTGAAAGCATCTGCTTTTATTAAACAACCAGAATCATATTTACAGTGGCAAGAGCAAATTTAATGGCTTTTCCTGTCAGTTTTGTGACTTCTGCTTGCAAAGACCTAGAAATATCAAAAAATGTATTTATGTCATGAGATCACAATTATTTCAATTAAGCTGAATGTGAGTTTTATCTGCTTGATTTTCTAGAGAGGATCCTACCAAGAACTAAGTTAAAATTCTTAAGTCTTTACGGATAGATGATTAGAGGAAAAGGACCAGTAGAAGGATGAGAGAATGTTAGGGAAATGAGATTGAAAGTGAATCAGTCCAAAAGGTTGTCCTCAGCAAGGCAATGAAAAAATGCACAAAACATCCTTACTTTAGGCCAGGCACAGTGACTCCAGCCTGGAATCCTAACTACTCAGGAGGTGGAGATTGAGAAGATCCCAGTTTGAAGCCAGGCTGGGCACAAAGCTCACAAAACTCCATCTCAACCAGTAAAAGCTGGGCATGGTGGTGCACACCTGTCATCCATCTATGCGGGAAGCACATATAGGAGGATCACTGTTCAGGCCAGAGCAGGCATAAAGTGAGACCCTATCTTAAATTTAAGGTCAAAAAGGGCTGGGAGTTTGGCTCAGGTGTGATGGCACCTGCCTAGCAAGCACAAGGCCCTGAGTTCAACTCCCAGCTCTGTCTTCAAAAAAAAGAAACCCTTACTTGAAGAGACTCATAATCTAAGCTCAATATGACATTTCTGAAAGCAGAAAACGCAAATCAGTTTTCTCTTAATTTTGGGATGTTGTAAAGTTTACAATAAAAATGTGCTTCAGGGCCTAAAGATCCATCTAAAGCTGTGACTTATTTTACAGGTGCATGAGGTATATGACGCAAAATCAAAATCTGCCAGTGTCCCTGTGCCAGATCTGTGTGCAGTCTATGCAGCTCAGGTGCGCTGTAAGAGGTTAGATGGTCTGGGATACTGGAGCAATTGGAGCAATCCAGCCTACACAGTTGTCATGGATGTAAAAGGTCTGCAAAGGTTTTGTAAATGTGTCTTGAAAGTGCATAAGCGTGTGCTTCAAATATGACTAAAAATGTTCTTTCTAAAAACACATGTACAATTTGAGCTCCTTGTTGTTTTGCAGTTCCAGTGAGAGGACCTGAATTTTGGAGACTAATTAATGGAGATATTACTAAAAAAGAGAAAAATATCACCTTACTTTGGAAGGTATTCCTGCTTCTTACTTTATTCTTAAATTTTGCTTTTATTTTCTTAAAAGGTAGACTTCACTGCTCATAACCCTGTCATTATTAATCTCCCAGATAATCTGCAGTCTGTATTTTCATTTCATTTTTGAGATATGATTGCAAGGAGCTAATATGTGTAGTGGCTCGAGCATTTGCATGGAGCTAATGTCATTAGTATTCTGGCAAAGTCCTTTAGACTCTTAGGGTCTCACTTTTCTCATCTGTATGAATGTAGGAGTGTAAAAATTGTGTTCATGTTTAATCCTAAACAATGTACGTGTGGCTTTCCCCTCATATTTTAAGCACATCTAAAACATAAGATTGTTGAATCTAGATGATGGCATATAAATAATTTTTCCATAAATGGTGGATAGAAAACTCAAAGCATTTCTGTCCCAAATGACTTGATTTCTATTTCAAGTGATCAGTAGATACCAAATTTAAGACTGATTTGGAAGTAAACACATGAAGTAAAATAATATTTATGTCACCGTAAATGTGAAATTTAAGTTCATCCCCCAAGAGTAAATTAAATTAATACGTGTTTTCCTGATTCCTGAAAATGGTTTCCTGATGTAAGCTCAATCCTTATGTAAAAACTGAGGTGTATAAGAGTTTATGCACATTTAACTTGTAAATCCAATTACTATATATGTTGCTTAATAATCAATGCAATTCCTAAACTGTTTTTCACTTCCATATTTCTAACTTAATGTTCTTAAAGTTAACATTAAGAACTGAGACTGAAGGAACGAGTAGGAAATACTCTGGAATTAATAGGTATAGGCAAGAACTTTCTCAATGGAACCCTAGCAGCACAGCAACTAAGAGAGAGCATAGATAAATGGGACTTCGTAAAACTGAAAAGCTTCTGCTCAACAAAAGAAATGGTCTCTAAACTGAAGAGACCACCTACAGAGTGGGAGAAAATATTTGCCAGCTACACATCAGACAAAGGACTGATAACCAGAATATATAGGGAACTTAAAAAACTAAATTCTCCTGAAATTAATGAACTAAGAAAGAAATGGGCAAGTGAACTCAACAGAACTTTTTCAAAAGAAGAAATTCAAATGGCCAAAAAACACATGAAAAAATGCTCACCATCTCTAGCAATAAAGGAAATGTAAATTAAAACCATACTAAGATTCCACCTCACCCCTGTTAGAATAGCCATCATTAGCAACACCACTAACAACAGGTGTTGGCGAGGATGTGGGGAAAAAGGAACCCTCTTACACTGGTGGTGGGAATGTAAACTAGTACAACCACTCTGGAAAAAAATTTGGAGGCTACTTAAAAATCTAAACATTGATCTACCATATGATCCAGCAATACCACTCTTGGGGATATACCAAAAAGACTGTGACACAGGTTACTCCAGAGGTACCTGCACACCCATGTTTATTGCAGCACTATTCACAATAGCCAAGTTATGGAAACAGCCAAGATGCCCCACTACTGATGAATGGATTAAGAAAATGTGGTACCTATACACAAAGGAATTTTATGCAACCATGAAGAAGAACGAAATGTTATCATTCACAGGTAAATGGATGGAATTGGAGAACATCATTCTGAGTGAGGTTAGACTGGCCCAAAAGACCAAAAATCATATGTTCTCCCTCATATGCGGACATTAGATCAAGGGCAAACACAACAAGGGATTGGACTTTGATCACATGATAAAGCGAGAGCACACAAGGAGGTATGGGGATAGTAAGACACCTAAAAAACATTTACTGCCCTCAACGCAGAGAAACTAAAGCAGATATTTTAAAGCAACTGAGGCCAATAGGCAAAGGGGACCAGGAATTAGAGAAAATGTTAGTTCAAGAAGAATTAACTTAGAAAGTAACACACATGTACAGCAAATCAACATGAGTCAACTCCCTGTATAGCTATCCTTATCTCAACTAGCAAAAACCCTTGGTCCTTCCTATTATTGCTTATACTCTCTCTTCAATAAAATTAGAGATAAGAGCAAAATAGTTTCTGCTGGGTAGCGAGGGGTAAGGAAAGGGCAAGGGAGGGAGTGGGGGGGTAAAGGAGGAGGTGGGGGAAAGGGGGGAGAAATGACCCATACATTGTATGCACATATGAATAAAATAAAAATTAAAAAGAAAAAGAAATGCTGGACTTGGTTATCCTGCATATTAAATTCAAATAGGACTAATTAACTTGTTCATAGCTGCTTTACATCTCTTATTACTCAATAAAATATTTGAAAAAACTAAAAAAAAAAGAAAAACTGAGACTGTCATTTATTATCTTCCAATTACTTCTCATGTTTCCACCTCCTGGGGGATTTGGGGTCTGTACCAAGTAGGGTGTAGAACTCATTGAAGAAGGAGGCTCTGCTGAATAAGAAACAGCTGTCTTTCCTAACAGAAATTTTTCTTTTTTTCCATCCATCTGTGGATGACTGCTTCAAAGATCTGAGAGTTTCTACAGTGAGGAACAGTGCGTCCTTCTCCCCTCTTCCCACCCTAATGTGCCCTACAACAAAACAATTGCCTTTCTTCCCAGATAGTTCTTATGCTTTCTTTATATCCTGGGTTCCATGTTTCCTCAACAATGCTGTCCAGTGGCAGTTTCTGTAATGATGGAAGTGGTTTGTATCTGCATTGTCCTGTGTCGTACACACACACATGTGACTATTAGAGCTTGAAATGTGTGTAGGTGACACAGAAACTGAATTTTAGCTTTAATTAATTTAAATTTAAATGGTCACAAGTGGTTAGTGGCTATTATATTGGGCTGCACAACTCTGTGGGTTCTTTAGGGTTGATTTGAGGGAGGGAGAAAGTACGCTTATGAATCTATATTCTTCCAAGGAGCTCGGATGCCTTTTATTTGTTCACTACCATTCATTAACCTTCTCTTAATTTTACATTGTTTTGTTTTGTTTTTCTAATCTGGGGTAGTAGTTCCTTGCTAGTTAGCTTTCTATCATAGTGACAAAATATGTGTGATAAATTACTTATTAAGAGGAAAGTTTCGTTTTGGTTCATTGTTTTGAAGGTTTCAGTTCACGGACTGTTGGTTCCATTGCTTTTGGGCCGGTGGCAAGGTAGTACATCATGGTGGGAGCATGTGGCCATTATTATAATTAAACAAGTAATATTGATACAGTGTTGTGTCACGCCTCCATATGCTCTTCTTGGTTATTAGAGTTTCTTAGAACTTTGTTCTTGATGAACTTGGCATGTTTGAGGAAGACTGGTCATGTATGTTGTAGGTGTCTCTCAGATAGGTTTTGCTTGATGTGTTCTCATGATTCGGTTATTGTTATGGGCGTTTGAGAGGAAGACCATAGATGTAGAGCACCAATTTTATCACCATTTAACCACATCACACTAAGGGTGCACATAACCAACATGACTTAACAGAGTTGATGCTAACCTTGCTAACATGGCTGAGGTGTTTGTATGGTGTCCCTCTGTGCAGTTGCTTTTTTTTTCCTCTCCTTTCCATATTAGACTTTTTGAAATGAAGACACTATATTCAGACCCTGCTTGAGGGTTGAGAGGTTCTACCTCTTTGAGGGTGGAGGATCTACATAACTTATTTATAGTTCTTTTGCATGGGAGACTAGTCTGCTCTCCCATATTTGTTTATTACTTCAATCATTTATATTGGTATTGAATGTGAAGGTTTATGTTATGTGTTGGGTCAGACTCCAGCATAGGTTAAATCTTCCTTGTCTGAAATGCTTAGAACCAAAGTGTTTCAGATTTTTGAGTTTTTCAGATTTTAGTATATTGGTGTATTCTTTACTAGCTAATCATCCCTAATATGAAAATCTGAAATCCAAAATAATCTGAAATATCAACCTGTTTAAGCATTAACATGCTACTCAAAATTTCAGATTTTGAAGCATTGTAGTTGAGACCTGAACTACTTTATTTTGATGTTCATATTTTTTTTTCTACTTCAGTCATTAGGAGCTTTATCAAGCTTTTATCAGTTGTCCGTTTGACAAAAATTGAGAAACACTGTTCCAGTCTGTGGTACAGAGTACAGCTTTCTATGGCCTTATAAGGGATTGACAGCACATAATCTTACTTGCAATAAGTAAAGATGATTGGGAAGTAGGGTATATTGTTAGAGTTTTTAGAATGGGAGACTAGCATTGGATTCAGTATTCATTTTAAGATACATAAGAAACTTTAAAAACACAGTGTGATTTTTTTAAAGTCTCCAGAACAGATTTCCTGGAGCCATGTATACTGTCTGGATAGCCTCTAGTGCTAGTTAACCTTTGCAAACTTTTCCCTTTCTAAATAATCTTCTAAGCACATGACACCAAGGGAAAACTAATGACAAATCTTACTAGGATTAATATAAGTGATGATCAATATCTCATCTCTTTCTTTACAAAATCTGAGAATTGATCCTTGTTTGCTTGTCAGATGAGGAAATGTTCCTTGTCAGTCATTCCTTCTCTAAAATTAGAGCGAAACTTCTTAGTAGAAAAGTGTCCTAATTGTTTCCTTTCTTCATTATTTTCAAGGTATTTACTCTCTGGGTCTTAAGAGAAAATGCAAAATGGGGGAAAATAAGTTTGTTATGTTCCAGGACTACCCAGACATGTTGACAGAGAGTGTGGTTGGAGGCAGCTTCTGTTGCTCTCCACCTTCCCTCAGCTTTGCACTGGACAGTTCCTGCCTTGATCTAACCTCTGCCTCCTGCTGGGAAATGTGAGATAAGAGCTTCATGAGCTCAGTTGCTATAAAAAGCCCTGAACTCCTTAAACTAATCAGTTTTTTATGTTTACTACAGCCCCTGAAGAAAAACGACTCATTGTGCAGTGTGAGCAGATATGTGGTAAAGCATTGCACAACCCACAATGGAACATGGTCAGAAGATGTGGGAAATGGCACCAAGTTCACTTTCCTGTGGACAGAGCAGGCACATACAGTTTCAGTTGTGGCCATCAATTCCATTGGTGCTTCCTTTGCAAATTCTAACCTAACATTCTCTTGGCCCATGAGCAAAGGTAAGAAGAGATATAGAGCAGTAATCCAGCGTTCCTTTTAGTATTAACCTTTATACAGCCTTCCCTTTCTAAGTTATCTTCTGGGCAGTCTGGGGTTCACTTTCATCCTTCAACTCTTCCTTGTCAGAAAAAAAACCCAAAATACATTGCACACTGATTATGTTCGTGTGGTAGAACATTTTGAAATGTTATTATAATAAATGAGAATATTCAAGTAAATCTAATACTTAAACCTTGAGGAGTGATAAAGGTTGCAGGTCACTCTCTTCTCTCTGTGTAGTGTGTAAAAATAAATGTATACAGTATCTTAAATGTAGACATATATATCATTTTATTATATATAGCATATGATATAGACACTATTCACTATAGTATATATTTTCATATATGGTATATATAAGCAAGTAGTATATTTATAGTATTTATATACAGTATTTTATACATACGCAGTAGTAGTGTGGAATACTATATGGATTCAGGTTAAATGCTGAGACTTGAGAACTACTGTGGACTTCATTTGATGTGAGTGGCAGATACTTTTTCATTAATTTGATATATTTGATTATTTGGAGAATTGAGAACCACTTTCAATAGGAGTTTCTAATTTGGATTATACATTTAAAGTACACATTTTAGTGGACAATACAAATTTCCTCTATCTCTACCAATCTCCAAAGACCTTTCCAAGTGTTATTTCTCCCCAAAGTCTTTGCTTATTACTTTTGTTTTTTTTTTTTTAATTTAGGTCCTTGCCCCTTGCAAGGCATGCACTCTGCCACTTGAGGCATGCTTCTAGCACTTTTTGCTTTAGTTATTTTTCAGGTTTCACACTGCCCTCAGACCACAATCCTTCTACCCAGGCCTCTTGCATAGCTGGGATTATGGGTACGAGCCGCTGTGCCTGGCCTGTTTATTACTTTAATTGAGTATGTCTTATCTCTTTAAGTCTCAGAGTGCTTTCTACATTTCTTAAAATATTTCGTATCCTGTTATGATTACTTTTGAATGCATAATATACAATGTTTTGCACTGAAAACATTATCAGTAAATATGTTCTAGACATATTTGTTGAATGCTTCAGCATGCTGTGGTGGAAATTTCCACAGGGGAAAAACTATAATTTTTACATCATTCAGAGTCTAGTAGGTGAACAGATATCAATCAGATGATCACGCAAGTGAACGTCTACTTCGAAATTGAGATAAGTGTCCTTAGGAAAAGAACATAATTTTATGAAATAAAGAGAAAGGAACCTTACCTGGCTTTGAGGGTCAGAGCAGCCATTTTGAGGAAATAGTACTGAAGTGAAATCTGACATGTGAATAGGAATTAAATTTCCCCCAAAGGTTTGGGAGGTGGGAAGAGCACTGGTTTCCAACAGAGCAGCAGCCTGATCAAAAGTCTCCACAGACAGGACAGAAAATGAAGGAAGACCAGGGTGGCATCAGTGCGGAAAACACAAAAGGCAGAGAGGTGGGTTGAGGTAGCAATGTCATCCTCAGATGTGGAAATGCACTGGAGGCTTTTAAGTGGTGCTCTGTGCTGAGGGTGTTGGAACGGACAGATTTGTGCTTTGCAGGTATCCTTCCATCAGTGGAGAGAAAAGATCCGAGAGTATGGTTAATATGCTTGTGCAGGATTCCAGCTGAGAACAATTTTGACTATGTAACAGAATTCCTTTTTTAAGGTTTTAGGTAAAATCACTTTTCTCCTCCATAAATATTCAGATATCTCTCTGCTTATGTGACTCTCACGATTCAACAATAATCGTCATGTATTATGTATGTAAAAATCATCTGCCTTCTCTTCCTTTTACCCTCATCCAATAGGTTATAGACTCCTCAAGGGTGTTAGTCAATTTTTATTAATTTTGAACTTAAAAATGAATTTCCTTCTTTTCCCTTCAGTAAATATCGTGCAGTCACTCAGTGCTTATCCTTTAAACAGCAGTTGTGTGATTCTTTCCTGGATGCTATCACCCAGTGATTACCATCTAATGTACCTTATTGTTGAATGGAAAAATCTTAATGAAGATGATGAAATTAAATGGCTTAGAATCCCTTCAAATGTTAAGAAGTATTATATTCATGGTAAGTATACTGAAGTTTAATAAGTTTCTTTCATGAGTTAGCATGATACTACAGACTAGTAGTTAATTAAAACTTCAAATATATAGATAATATTCCATGTTAATGCTTACAATCTCATCACCTTATCAAAACATTTTGTTCTGTTTGCTTTGATTCTTTTTCATTGCTATGTTTTGCACAGATATAATCATATCTCATATCATGTATTTCTCCCTGTTTCTTTCTACCTTTATTTTTGATGATCTCATAACCTTTTATTCTAAAGTCTACTTATTCATTTATTTGATATTACTTATGTTGCTTCCAGCTTTATTGCTTTTAAAACTCTTTAAATGGCTTCTAATATCTAATGCCAGATTGTTTTCCCAAACTGTGTACCCATTTTTAATGTCATTGGCAATGATCACAAAGTTAGACTAAAGGTCTGAGGACCTAAACCTTGTGCCTAGGCCAGTGTAGTTAATGAAAGGTAGACCAGTTATTCCAAAGGCATGCTAAGTGTATGTGTAAGGGTACAATGTAACATCTCCATGTCAGAGTAGGGACTAAGGGAAGTCAAATAAGGAAGCCAAGGATTGCCATGGTTTTACTTACAACAGCTACAGGAATTACACTTTCATTTCATTCCATAATTTAGCTCAGGGTAGTTTGTTGTAAATTGTTCATGGGGGACTGAGTTCATTATCACTGTTGTCTAGGTGGTTACTCTCTATGCCTTTATTTAAACCAGGGTGATAGAGAATGTCGACTTCAAAAGACCAGTCTCTGTTAGAATAATATTCGTATGTTATTACCATTTGTAAAAATCATTATCATATCTGTCTTGAGTGTTACTATGGTGATGGCCATTTTCTAAGTATCTAAACCCCAGATGCTACAAGAGGACTCCTGGTCTCCATCTTCATCTTCTTTGCATAGGATTTCACAAGACTAGTTTCCCAGATACCTTTAATTGGGAAACTAAATAAAATAAATTCCTACAGAAAGAGAACATTGTCTACTTTGAGGATAAGGAAAAGAAGGGAGCACATATTTTCCTGGAAAAGGAAATGAGGGAAAGAGAGAGCTCATTTTTCCTGAACTTGAATAAATTGGCTATCACTGGAACATACCTTTGAAAAATTACAATTGTCTATGTCTGGGTAAGATTTTTGAGAAATTATTTGGGAAACAATTATCATTGCTGGATAATTTGGATGTTTAGGTCATTTAAAAAAAGCCTTTTAATAATAAATTTAATCTATAAATAACTACTGATTTCTAATGTTGGAATATGGCTTATACTTTTATATATATGTTCCATCAATATTACTTAAATATAAATGGGCCTTTACCATATTTTTTTCCTCAGATCATTTTATTCCCATTGAGAAGTATCAGTTCAGTCTTTATCCAATATTTATGGAAGGAATGGGAAAACCAATGATAATTAATGGTTTCACGCAAGGTAAAAATTTTTCTTTTAGTTTCTTTTTACACTAGTATGTGTTTCCTAATCTGTTAGATGTGGTGTTGCCATTGGACTATTTTTTTTTCTGACAGAATTACGGAAGAGTTAAGAGCCTTATGTAGATTTGTCATGGGGTAGAAATATATTTTTTTCTCAAAAAATAGTACCAGGTAGATTGTTAGAGTGAAGTTTGCTGGGCCTCTTATATTTCTGTTTCATCTTATGGCACTTGAGTACCAGCATTTTGATTTTGTTATTAGTTTTTAAGTTGTCTTCAAATGCAAGTGACCCAATAATATGGTTTCAAGGGAGAAACATTTGATCTGCTTTCAGAATGAAAATAATTTTAAAAATTGCTTTTTAGTCAACAAATATTTATTGAATATTTTTCTAAGAACTGGGGTATACATGATGAACATAAGTCTCTACTCTTATGGAGCCTAAATTCCAAAGATCTAATGCAAGTGATAAATAAATTATGCAAAATATAACATCAGATAAAAATAAGTGCCTTGAGGAAAATAAAAGTAGATGAAGGGTTTTGGTTAAAATGTGGTGTTTTAGTCAGAAATGGCCAGGAATGGTCTTTTCATGGGGGTGATGTTCGAGTAAAGCCCTGTGTATAAAAAGGGAAGAACACTCCAGGCAAAGGCATAGCATGTGCAAAGGCCCTGGAGAGTCAGCATTGTCCAAGAAACAGTGATCAGGTCAGTGAATCTGGAGTGAACAAGATAAAGATTGGCAGGTGTTGTAGGCTGGGTTCTCTAGACTCATCATGACAACTTTAGGATTTTTTTTAGTACTGTAGGGTTTAAACTCAGGGCCTTTTACTTGCCCTACTATTTGAGCTATGCCCATAGCCCTATCATAGCTACTTTAACTGGCACTTTGACTAATATAATCTAAAAGTGATCAGATGGAGAAACTTAGCAAATAAATAATTTAAAAATATTTTGCTGAATTTTAAGTATAATACTAAACAAAATAATTATTTTGTTAATGTGAACATAACATACTATTATTTTCCTCTTTTTATTTTTACATTTTGAAGATTATACAGATGCATGATAAAATCAGAAAAAGTCTACTATAATTTTTATGTAGCAATAAATATTTTCTTAAGCTTCTGAGCTGTATGAATTATATTTCTTTTACAGATAACAATGAAAAACAGCAGAATGATGCAGGTCTATATGTAATTGTGCCAATAATTATTTCCTCTTGTGTCTTATTGCTTGGAACGTTATTAATATCACACCAAAGGTATGGCATTTGATGTTAAGAGTCTGCAGCAAAAGCCCTTACTCATAGTTAAGCCTTGATTTAAAACCAAAATCATGAATATTAAAGTGTTCTAAATATTTTTATATGTATTCAGTTTACAATCAAGATGGTATAAAAAAAGAAAGACCTATTTTTAGGAAACGGCTTTCCATTTTGATAAGACAACATAAATCTTGAAGAAGAATTTATATATTCTTGAATATATACATATATATATATATTCAAGAATATATTCCAGCTTATAACAAGAAATCCTGGGTCGCATGTTCTTGGCTATGGTAAAAATGGCCTTCAGAGCTGTGATTTGGACTGAGGATTTTAGTAGCAACCACGGGACCTAAAGGTGGACTTTTAGAGTCCACTTATGATCTGCAGGTACTCTGCTCTTTAGAGGACAGTGCTGCATGGCTCCAGTCTGTCTGGCTTGTCAGACAAATGGCCTTTGAGTTGTCTGGGTGAGTCTGTTGGGCCACATCACTCTGTGTTGAGACATCCACACCCGTAAGGCTGTTTCACACAAACTAAATCTCCATGGAAACTTTTGTATTCCATCAAAAAAAAAAAAAAGAGGGCAGGGAGATTTTAGAGTCTGATTTTCCTTTTTAGTCAAGTAAGTTGATGGGGCTGTATCAAGTGGGCTTCTTTCTGATACCCACGATGGCTGTTTTTATTTTTATTTTCTGAGTAAGACTGATGCAAAGTGTTTAGCACAGTGCCTGGCACACAACTTTCAACAAAGTGGGCTATTTTATTAGGATATTGATTATTAACTTGGGTCTAGATAGAAGTTTAGTGGCACTCTCCATGGGATAGAATGTAAATAAATGTAACTGATACAGTGGACTAATGTCTGTGTATTCATTAACTGTTAACATTTTCAATATGAGTGCTTTCCTGTAATTCTGACTCCTTGTTTATTTGTAGAATGAAAAAGCTGTTTTGGGAAGATGTTCCAAACCCTAAGAATTGTTCCTGGGCACAAGGACTTAATTTTCAGAAGGTCACTTTTTCACTATTTTTAACCCAGAATATACAAGACTGTACTTTCGATGCCATGACTTCTAGATCTTCAAATATTTTTAAGATTTAAAAGATTTTGTTAAATTCATTTTAATATGGGCCTGTTTATTATATTTTTAAGAATAGCACGTTATAAGTCTAAGGAGGAAACAAAATTCAGTAAATAGTTTATCATATGCAGGTTAACAATATACATATATTTCTTCTGGTCACAAAACATAATAAAATAAATATTAGAATATTAAAGGTCGAAATTGATGGAGCATAGATATTTGGATATACCATTTTGGTCTAACCCATATTTTGGCAAAAGGCTTGGAATAAATATTTCTAATCTCTATTATTTAATATCCATATTTTCTTAAATCAACTTAAACTATATAAAGTCTTTTCTTTTAATATTATAATCTGAAAAATGCAATTGTCATAATAAAACTTGTATTTATATTTACTTCCATTCAAGTAAAAGTACTTTATGAAATAGGCATATTTCATATAGAATTTTTTAGAAAACTCTAGAGTTTAATGAATGCTTTTTATTAATTCTCATAATTTCCCTTGAAATAAAATTCAGTCTTCATATCAAAAGGCACAATTTTAACACAGAAATTATTTGGAGGTTATAATGCAGGTCATTGTTTACATCTTTATTATTAATCAGTTATGAAAACCCTCGGACTTCCCTTTTGGTACAAATATGGTCCCCTTAAGGTGGTCCTGAACACCTCCCTCTGTAGTCTGGTATCCACTTGTTTCTGCCCCGGACCTTGGGCTCACCTTTACTATTGATTTCTTCCAGCAAGAAAGATCTTGCTCTAGGCCCTTCTTTCCCCAAGCTCTTCTTTAATTACTATAGTTCAGAGAATATTTTCTTCATTAAGTTCCTAGAGCATTTTATTGTGAAATTTATTGTGGATAATGTTCTGAGTGCAGTGAATAGTTCATTCAATGCAAATATTCGTGGAACTCCTTCTGCTATGTGCAGGGTATTAAAGTAGGAGTCATTAAATAATTGCTGGGAATTTCATGAGAGGGGTGTCCACTTATAATGTGCAAGTCACTAAGGTGATGCTTCTCCTATATTCAATCTCAGTGTCTTAGTTTCCTCTCCTATACTGTGAGGTTAGGGTGAGCAATGGCCTATGGGCTGTTATGGAGATTAAAGATGCTACTTGTAGCATAGAAGGGCCACAGTAAATATTAGTTATTATTATTTTAGATTAGTAATACATAATTGAGATTGTTATTATCTTCCACTTACCCTTGGGATAAGTACTATTGTCTCCATTTTATACAAGAAAAAACTAAGTTTACAGTGGTTAGGTAACATTATAGAGCCAAGATTAACTTCCCGATTCATATGAGTTTGGAGTCTGTTCCAGCAGTCATTGTTTTGCATAGCACTGACTTTCAATTTTTCTACATGACTCACAGTGAGAAATACACTTTACCTTCTAACCTAGCACACACATACACGCAGATAAATAAAAATAGAACAAAAATGCACAAAGCATTTTATAACTTGCTTGAAATAGAATGTTTTAAAAATTCCATTTCATTTGTTCATTTGTTTAAAATGCTGTTTGCAACCCACAAAATTGATCTTATAACATTCAAATGGCTTATGATTTGAAGTTAAGAAAATACTGCCTCTTAGCTTATCAACAAATGAACAAATAAATAATAATGTAGACATAATGAACAACTCAAAAGATTGGATTATATGCTTTCATAAGAATAAACAATTCTCTTTTTTGAGAAGAGGCAGCAGTGTAGTTGTGCCTATAATTTCTCTGACTTGCCCTATGTCTCTATTCTCCTCAGCTGTGCTATTGCTACTATAAGCTGTGGACTATCCTTTTATTACAACAGAGTTGCTGGTTTTTTTTTTTTATTCCAAATAACAAAATATTTATTCCTCTTCTTTCTCTTCCAATATGAATGTAACTTGTCATCATGGTGATACTTTAGGTGCAGGTACATGTCATTCTTTCATTTGTTCAACAAGCACCTGGTGAAGATTTGCAAATGAGTTAGATTATTGCTAGGCTCCAGGAGGACACATTTTCCTCAACAAAATGCAGCTTGAACCTGTTTTGATAAAGTTTCCCTTTTCCAGAAAATGACTGGCACAAGGAACTTCTGAGTAGATGCCTTAGTAAATGTTTGTGGATTGCATCCCACCCCACTGTCTCCCTTAACACTCCCTAAAGATGAGCAGGTGCCTTAGCAGGCCACCTGCCAAATATTATATGCAACTAAATTGAAATATCACCAAAATTTTCCAGATTCTGGAAAAGAAATGTGAAGAATTTTTATGATATGGTGGGTATGCACACCATTATTTTTAAGACTGGTTTTACCTTTGCAAATAGTTTAGAAAATCTTAGAAAAGATTTTCTAAGCATAACGAAGTCACAAATGTTTAGTTTATTACTAGGGCTTAACAGGTGCATTAGAAGTAAGTCATTTTATAATATAATGGGACTATTTAAAAAATAAAGAAACATACTGTCAAAAGATTTTATTAATTATAAAATTCTTCTAAAAAGGGGTGGGGAATACAGCTCAATGGTAAAACACTTGCCTAGCTAGCAAGCTTGAGGCCCTGAGTTCAATCCCCAGCACTACCAAAAAAAGTTCTACAAAATGATAAGACCTTTTTGTATCTACTCTTCTGATTTAATCTCCTAAGTAACTAAAATTTACTTTTTGAAGGAAAAATACTGAAACTCACTTTGTATTACTAAAGGAGAAAATGCAAGTTTACTGTGTGTCTTATGCTTTCATTTATATCATTTTAGTTAGTTCTTTCACAAATCTAAAAGCCCACTTTTTCCAATGACAAAACTGAGGCTCAAAAAGAAAATTCCTGGGTTCAATTCCCAGTCCATCTGACTCAGCTGTTAGCCATCAATCCCACATGAGCACTGTATTCCTTAATGTAGTTAATACACTGAATTACATACTTAAAATATCTGAAGTGATAAATTTAATGTTGTATATATTTTAACACAATAGAAATGAGGAAAGGATTTGACTAGGTGTTTATCCAAAAAGATCTTCAAACAGCCATTTGTGCTTACATATGAACATACACTCAGCATCATTAGACATTTGGGAAACACAAGTCAGAAACACACGGACTGACTTCACACCCAGTAGGATTGGCTATCGGGAAAGACAGACAAACACTGAGACAACGTGGAGATAGCGAGGCTGTCATACACAACCGGTGGGAATGCAATGCTGTGTAGAACCCTTTGAAATACAGTCTGACAGTCTTCAAAATGTTCACTGTGTGACTCACCAATTCCAACCCCAACAATCTACCACCAGAAATGAGGTCATTTATCCGCGTGGAAATTCATACATGAGTATTCATATCAGGATTATTCACAATAGCTAAAACATGAATAAATGAAATAACTTCAAATGATAAATAAACAAAAATGTGTTGTATCCAATTCCAAAACAAAAGAAAAACGCAAACAAAAACCTCATAATCTATTGCAAAGCAAACATATTGTTTTTAAAAGTGATTCAAATATAGTAGTTTTTTAAGGAAGCAATTTTTGCGTAAATTATTTCCTTTAATTTGTTCTTCAAATTCAGACTTTTTGGAGCATTGATTTTTGTGAAAGTGTTCTCTTCCTGTAATTTCTAGTCATCCAACCTGTTCCACAAAATGTTCCCCCCAAATCAATTCATTAATCCCCTTACTTTTTCATGATCATTCTCTTCTCTTCAGTTTATAATAAATCAAAATCTATACTAAACAAGACATGCAAATAAAACTTGCAAAAATAATTTAAAAGTATTTCAAAATATCTCTAAAAGAAAATAAAAAGATCTGGGTGTGGTAGCTTAGGCCTGTTACCCTAACTACTTTGGGAGGCTGAGATTAGGAGGATTGTCATTTGAGGCCAGCCTGGGCACAAAGATTACAAGACCCCATCTCAACCAATAGCTGGGTGCATACTTATCATCCTGATGACAGTGGGAAGCATGGATAGGAAGATCACAGTCCAGGCTGGTCCAGGCAAAGAGTAAGACCTCATCTCAAAAACAGCTACAACAAAAAGGGCTGGAGGCATGGCTCAAGCAGTAAGAACTTCTGCCTACTAAACATGAGGCCCTGAGTTCAAACCCCAGTGTCATTTAAAGAAAAAAAGCAGTAATACTATCGATGCCAGACATTACTAATAGAATAACACCATACATGATTAAAAATAATTCTGCCAATATAATTGTCTGAAGATGTTATTTTTTAGTATTATATACTTCCTTTTCCCCTTTAATTTTTCAGATAATAGAACTATATTAAAAATAGAATAATATAGTGTCTTGGGGTACAGCTCAGTGGTAAAGTGCTTGTTTAGCATGCATGAGGCCTTGGGTTTGATCAGCAGCCCTGAAAAGAAAAGAATGTAAAAATACTTACATGCTAACAATATCTTAACATTTTCTGTATTTGCCTCACTTTTTAAATAGTAACAACTACAGGTAAAGGTTAACCCACTTATTCCCTTCACTATGTCTTATCCCTTCCTCTATAGATTCACCCACTTCCAAAATGTAGGCTGTGTTCATCTAGTTTGTATTTTCATACTCCCCTACACCCACATGTGTATATGTTAGCCAATGAGCAGTAACCTTTTGGGGATTTTGTTAGTATTGATACACTGTCCATATCATTGCAGACAACTTTTCCTCTTAGTTTTGTTTTTGAGACATTTCCTTGTTCACAGAGTTAATCTGGTTTACCCATTTGGACTGGTATATAGTAATCACCATGTAAACACAGCATGGTGTATACATCCACTCCCCCAGCTGGGGAAATTTAAGTTGTTTGAATGACTTTTTCTATTTATTACAAGCAATGATTCAGGAAGTATGGCTGTAGATGACTCTTTGTTTCTTTGGGGTGCATCCCTTGACATTTCCTGCTATTTAAAAAAAGAGGTTTTGAAAGAAATA